ACTACTTCCTCGAACGTTTAAATCAATGCTGCAAGATTTACGGGCGAAGAACGAGGAAGGATACGATTACATCAGCCTCATCGATAAAGAAATGTGGACGAACGCATATGATGGTGGATATCGATATGGACACATGACGACCAACTTGGCTGAGGCAATCAATTCAACCTTAAAGGGTGCACGTCACTTACCTGTAGCCGCTTTGGTAAAAACTACATATTTTCATTTGGGGGCGCTTTTTGCGAAGCTCGGGGGACAAGCTCAAACCTGGATGCAAGGCGGTCATGTCTATCACCCTAGATTAGTTGCAGATCTACAGAAAAAAAATTGATGCATCAAATGGAATGTCTGTAACAAGATTCTCTAGAAGGCATGAAATGTTTCGTGTCATAGAGTTGTCTCAACCTCTTCAAGGGATTGAAACTGTGTCGTTAAGAGTAAATCTAAGGGACAGAACGTGCGACTGCGGGTTTTTTCAAGCTCTGAAGTATCCATGCTCTCATGTGATAGCAGCTTGCTTGCATACACGTCAAGACTATAACCATTTTGTGGATCCCGTATACCTACTATCTGAAGTTTTTAAGGTATACGAATTTGAGTTTCCCCCCATAGGTAATGACAAAGACCCTGATGAGGTTCAAGATTGGCTTCTGATTTTACCAAATCTGAGTTTATTGAGGGAGTGTGGTCGTCCAAAATCCAATCGAATTCATTGTGATATGGATATTCGAGAAAGATCTAGACAAGACAGAAGATGTGGCCATTGTAGAAACCCAAGACACACTAGAAAAACATGTCTACTTCTGTTGTCATCAAGTAACAATTGATGAGGAAATGATGTATTTGTTTATCAAATAATAATTCTTGTATTTTAATTTGCATTTACTTCAAGTTAATGTCATTCGATAGTCGCTGATGAAGATTAAAAAAACGAACACAATCATTAAATTTTATCAAACTAATAACAATTTGGTATTTAAATACAACAAACTTACAATAAGAATTCAATGGTAAATGATAACCAAATTTCAATAACTGGTATTAAATGGTAATAAACAAAATTAACTGAAATATATTAAAAAAAAGTCCAATAAATTTAACAAAATAAAGTAAATATTAAATGAGAAATAATAAAAAAAAGTACAATTTAACAAAATAAAGTAAATACAAATATAATAAAAAAATCTATCGATGTCTACGTCGCGAATGTGTTCCGCAGGGCGGTGGCTGTCGGTCTCTAGGAGGATTTCTTCGTATCACTGGTTCTGACTCCTCGCTGTCATCATCATCGTTATCGTCGTCGTCGTCGTCGTCATTCTGAGCATGTACATTAGGTTGATGAGGAGCTGATGATGATGAAGCACCTCCATAGAATAAGGACCCTAGAGGTGTATGACTGACTATCCCACCGGCCTGCGAAAACTGAGAAAACCCAGACATCGCTGAGTGTGAAAACTGTACAGGAGGTGTATGTGTTGCGGCCATGGGTGATGAGGCTGAACCCGCCAAATATCCAGCATATGAACCCCAAGTCAGATCTGCAAACATAGACCCATGATAACCTCCAGGAGGGGTCATCTATGACGGTGGCGGCGACGAGGTCATAAAACTAGGTGAAAGCGGCGACGGCGACATCTGGTAATGGAAAGGCGATGACAGCATCATATATGGCTGCGACATCATAAATGGTTGTGGTGGCTGCTGTGAAGGTCCTGCTGGTACAGCTGAGGATGAACCAGAAGCACCTGTTCTCCGTCCACGAGTCGAGGGACGATGGTGCTGTGTCGGTGAACGTCTCTGTCGACGTCGTGGAAAGGTCTGCCCTCGTGCATCCTCGGGAAGTAGAAACGGTTTCCCGTTACTATTGAACCACTCAAAATAATCCTCAGCATACATCAAGAAGTCAGTAAAAATGGGCTCTCTACGTGGAAGGCGCTGATATCGATCCTCTCACAACACGACTCACTCATGATGCCTCACCAGCCAATCTGTATCTGTCTTGTCGCGTCTATCTAAACTATGCAACTCGTCCATATTGCGAGGTGCTTCCTGAATTGGTTGAAAAGAACCAAACTGCCGGAGCACGCGATCAGTGGAGTGCCACTCGACGGTCGCATAACAGATCAAAGGGACCATCGCCATCCAAATATCTGATGGACCCCTCAACTCAGGTGGGATCACCGCCCTCACATCATCAGTAGAATATGACACCCATTCAAACTAAAACAAATAATATATAATTTTTATCAAAATAATAATCTAATTATATAACTATAATCTAAAATCGATTTTTAAACATTAAAATTCATACCTGTGTGCCAGCCTTCTGATCGATTAGCACCCTAATTTTTTCTAAATCATCAGGTAGCTCCTGATGATTTTTCCTATCAGTAGACCACCTATTCAAGGGAAAAAATTTATTATACGATGTATAAAATTATTAATATACAAAATCAGTTTTATAATTACCTCAGAAGTAGTGGAAATGCGAATGGGTTCTTCACAACGGGACATAAAAAGGGTAATCGATACCATGCCCAAGACTGAAGCAGTAGGAGACATCCGCCGATAGCATTACGCCTGTAGTCAGTGGCTCCACACATCTCCCTGTATAACAAAGCCAAAACTACCGAGCCCCAACTGAATGATCCGGCGAGACGAAAGTCGCTAAGATGTCGCAACCACATGCAGTGAACTAGGTTGTGCGATTTGTCCGGCATCAGCAACCCTCCTATCAACTGCAATATGCATGCCCGTGAATACATCTTACCCTTATCCTTAGAGGCGTCTGCGCTCAACTCCCGAAAATTGGCATCTAACCAATTTAATTGTATCCTACCTCCGATAAAACTTTCCGGGACACATCCTAGATTATCCCGACACAAAGTAGTCCAAGAACCGGAAGCTATCCCTGATATCACATCTCCATCCACCGGAAGCCCCCAGGTGCATAAAAACATCCTCAAGCATGATCGTGAACTCTCCGCACGGAAGATGGAATGTGTGGGTCTCCTTCCTCCACCGCTCTACTAAGGTAGAAATAAGGTCTGGTTCTATCTTACAGTGACCCTGATATCTACCTATGTAACCAAATCCAGCCTCTACTAAATACGGCAAGACACGGCTAGGTATCACTAACTTAAGATTCCTAATAAAAGGATCTAATACACGGTCCTTCTCCTAAAAATAAATAATTACAAAAATTAATTCTTAATCTAATAATCATGCATTAAATAAATCAACTAATTATTACTAATAATATAAATTAAATTAAAACGTTAAAATGTTATCATATCAGCAAAGTGTCGAGATATATGATTTCCATCCAAGCGAAGTAGATTGCCTTCCATTATATATCTACAAAAAGAATTATATTAGTAAAATATTAAATAAAGTAAAATACTTAAATAAATTAAATACATAATATTAAAAATATTATAAAATATACCTTAAACAGAGAGAGAATTTGAGAGAAATTGAGAGAATTTGAGAGAATTTGAGAGAATTTGGTGTGATGAAAGTGATTGAGGATGGGGTATTTATAGGGAGGATTGGGGTGTGAACGAGTGGGTAATTAAAGGTATAGCGCGCCCCCTGTACCGCGATATACCCCACGTGTCAGATAACCAGGTATAGCGTGGCCCCTGATCCGCATTATACCCCTACGTGGCACATAGCGCGGATCAGGCGCCGCGTTATACCCACGTGTAACCCATGTCAGCGTATAGCGCGGGGCAGAGGGCGCGCTATACCCCACGTGGCGCTAAATCAACATATAGCGCGGGGCAAGGGAAACGCTTTACTGCTACAGGTGTTAAATCAAAAAATATAATCTGACCGATGTTAAATCGATAAATATACCGATCACTTATGATTTTTCAAGAATTTCACCTTAAAATAAGTTCTTTTCTTTTTTCTTCCAATGACGTCGGCTTTGGTCTTAGCGGCTAATACGTCATCAGTAATAATAAAAACTAGACGCGTAGAGATCTGGAAACGCGTCCGCATTACTCTCGATGTCTATGTGACGTATCCAAATCACAAGATCCATAAACACGAGCGAAAAACGACCGTCCTTTCCAATGTTTCTGCAAAATCCCTTCCCAAATTTGACCTCCCTTTGATCCAGGGGGGGAAGAGAGAGAGAAATTATTTTTAATTTTGCATTTCAATTTTATATTCAAAGTTTTTAATGTGAAGGCTGAGGATATATAATAGGTTGTACTCACTCTTCTAGGCTTTCCTCTAGCTGTATGTATCAAATGAATTGCAGTGAATTCGATATACTTTGGTTTTTCCTTTATGTAATTAATGTATTTTTGCACATCTTTTTGTTCTTGCAGATTATCTTATGGGCTGTTTGGTTCAGAAAATTTAAGATTCTCATGAGAATATAATCTACATTTCTTCGTTTGGTTGGTATGAAAATGTCATTCTCGGTAATGTTTTATTACCAATAGTAGAATTTTTAGGATATATTACCAGGAATGTCATTATCCTTTCTCTTGGGTATTGTTGGATTACCGGCGTTTTGGATAAAAATGCCCTTAAATTTTTTTTTTCTTCAAAAATATCATTATTCTGTCATTGAATAATAAAAATTCTACGAAGGTTAAATTATAAATTTATCCTTAAACTATTTTAGATTTATAAAAAAATCTATACTTAAAATTTTATATGAAGTTGAGGGGTTAAAATAAAATTTTACCCTTTCATTAAACCTTTTAATATTTTTAATTTTGTAAAACAAATTATATAAATTTTATGAATTTAAATTTTTTAAAGAAAATATATAAATATTTTTCAACTTGTTAAAAAACAAATATATAATAAGGACAATTTGGTCAAATATACATTCCAATAATCTTTTATTCATTTAACCAAACACGGTTATTTCACATTCCTGTTAAACCAGCCAAACACAAAATACAACATTTTCAGTAATCTTATTCTCTGGTAATCTTTTATTCTCACTGATAATTTTACAATCCATGAATCAAACGCACCCTTAGTGTTCCATTCTCCGTTACAGCAGAGTTAATGCTGAATCTGGCGGCTGCCCAGGTTTATATCTCAATCATCTTCTGTGGCATGTGCTTCTGCTTTATATGGTTGCCGAATATGGAAAACTGTAACAATTTATATGTTTATGCAGGATTGGCAATTGGAGTTTTGAAACCTTGCAATTGTTATTCCACAGGTACAAAATTTTATACAATGTGATTTTTAACTTGTCATTTTATATTATTTCAGAATGCTTCTTACTGCCACATAAGTTAGTTTTTCCTTTCATAGCTCAAGGGTCTACCTATTTTAGCCCCAAATATCACTTGGGATGCCTTGCATTTCTAGAAGTTCATGTTTTAGTTACCTTTTGGGCATCTAAAACAAAATGTTGATTTAAAGTGTTAAAACTGAATGAGAAAATGGTATCTTTTGTGCTTTATCAATTCAGTTAGAGTTGACTTTTAACGAACTCTTGATTTCTTTAGATGATTGTATCACTTGGTGCCGGTCTGTGGGATGCTCTATTTGGTGGAGGAAACATACCAGCCTTCATTTTGGCTTCCTTATGTACCCTGGCTGCAGGGATTACCGCAACTCTTAGGTTGCCTGATTTATCGAGTTCCTTCAAGTCATCTGGTTTTCATTTTGGTTGAGGACCAAAATGGCATTAACAAAGTGAAAACACACGTGTTTTATCTAAATTCATTCATTCTTTTCCCCCATTCTTTGCTGGTATGTGTACCTTTATGTAGAATGGGCAAATTGCCCATTATTATATTGAAAAAAAATGCATACTCTAATCAACAGTGGGATAGCAGACGCATAATGGACATTTGTAATAATGACACATTGAATTATACATTCATATTTATGCCCGCAAGATAAGACGTATAGGATAAAAGTGTCCATACGAAGTGATTGAAAAACAAATATCTTTGAAAATTGTGCCGTTGTAGAGTTACAGCAACTGAAATTAATTCATTATTAACTTATACCCTAAGACATAAGGGGGGGAAATAGTACTCCTACAAGCCATTAAGAACTTCCAACCTTCAGAAACAATTAATGTCTGTTTTCTCAAATGAGATATATGCAGTTGAGAATCCTAAGTTTTGTTTTATAATTTTGGGATCATTGAACCTTAGGCTGCAATGATATTATTTCGTGGGGCAGTAAAAGATATATAAAAAATGATCGGGGGGACATAAAAAGGGTTAATGTAAACATCGTTCAGGCCTTTCTCTTCTTCTGCAGGTCCTGTGAATCCCTCCACTGAAGGTAGATTTGGTAACACAAACCTGAGAAAACCATGAGTACACAACCCCATTGCTTTGTGGACAGTGGATTGCCACTCATCAGAGAAGACACCACAATGCTGACGAATTTGCGCGTTGTGGTAATAGTGGTGTTCACCAAGGATCCGAATCGACTTATGGTCAAGAAAATGAAATTCTGGCCGATGGCTCCACAGAGGCAATACAGCAAAATATCCCAAGCTGCTTCTGGATGCAGCTTGAAGAATTGGACTGCCTCGAAGCCACTAGCTTGTGGCCAACCAAACATGTAGATCATGTTGTATATTGCACTCCATAAGTTCATTCCCAACATTACATCCCAAGCACTTGTCTTCGGATACCTAAGCAGGGGGAGGGGGGAGGAAGAATGAACCAAAGTTCTCCTTTGGAAAAACAGTAAAGAGTTTTTGCTCTTAAATTTACTTGGAAAAACTTATTCACTTGACAAACAAATGAAAAAAAAGGGTGAGTGGGAGATAAACAGAGATAATCATAATAGGTAAGGCTTTTGATCCAACTGAATCTAACCCGAAAAGTAAATACTTCCATCCGCACCCTACCCGAGTTAGTAGGGTTTCACCCAAACTGAATCTTGATCTGATTTTTCGTGAAAATCAGCACCCAATCTGACCCGAGACCATATATATATGTGTGTGTATCATAAGGTAAAATAATGACTCGATTGAAAAAATAGTATAGAAATTAGTATTACTGTAATTTGTAATTATTTCTAAATATACAAGAGATAGGTATAATATTATATCGAGTCATACCCAGTTTCACCCTAGACCTGACCCGATCCCATCTTTCAGAAAAACTCAATCTGAATCTAATATTTTAAAAAATATCAATCAAATCAGGTCAAAACTCCTCTGGCTCAAGTCAAATCACCATCCTAAGGATAAAGCAGCAATGCATATTAAGTGTAACAAAATAGAAAAGCACCGAAGCTAAAGTGGGAAAAAGGTTTTCGGCAAACATACCTTGTATTTATTGAATCCTGAGTGGCGTTAGTAAAGCCATCAAATGCAAGGTTCAAGAAACAGAGCGCGAATCCAAGGGGTGAATTCGGATGTGCCAACTTGCTAATTGTTTTTGAGCTTGTCTGGAATTAGATCAAAGCATACGTATTATGAGCAAAGCCTATGACTTGGAACTCAGATTTCATCTAAAGATATTTAGTCATCAAAATGCCTTGTGAAGGAGCAAGATGTCAATTACATCTAAAAAAAGTGACATTGTTATTTCAGAGTCTAACAAATAGCACATTTCTCACCTTCATACGTGCAAACATAGATACTCCTCCAGCCACAAGGAATGTGCAGATATACTCGGGCAAAGAGTATTGAATACCATAAACTAGAGTACCCATCAGCATGACTGCATAACGGAAAAATACGTTATTAGATCATTTAGAAACCTCATGATACATGTTTCTTTAACCTAAAGCAGGTTGACCGGTAAGATAAACAACAACCGTAGAATGTTGTAGGTTCGTAATTTTGCTGGTGGTTCTGGAGGTTTTGATGAAGTTGTTTTAATTTTTGGGTGAGGAAGATTGTACGTGCCTTCTCTAATGGCCATTTATAATGTTCTGAACAGGTGGCGTTTTGGAGTTGTCATGGCATTGGTGTTGATTGGACGCCTTAGGAAGTGATGGTCTAGACCGGTTAATCATAAAATGAGAACACGTGTATTGACACGTGGCCGTTGGTGATCGTATGCAGGATGTGCTCGGGGCGGGGGGGGGATTCATAGGTGCTCGTCACGTTGGTTGCTGTTTTGTCGCTCGTGGGATGTGCTTCGCATGTATAAAAATTCACCTAGCTGAAAGGTTCGCGCAGTTGGAGGTTCACAGGTAGTAACAAAGTAAATTTAGGAATAAGTGGCAATACCTTGTAAATTACCAATACAAAGTTATTAATGCTTTGCATGATACCATCAATTTACTAATCAATGAAGAATCATGAAAAAAAAATAGTTTACAGAAAGTAGTGTATATCTTACCTAGAATCATTTTTGAGGATTTTGCCAGCATCTGCATGTAAGACGAACAGTATCAAATATTCAAAGGTAAAACCAATCAATTTAGCTGTCCAAGAGGAAACCAACAGTGACCATAATAACAAGGAGTCAAGGACTAAAGCCCCATCGCTATCCAGGAAAAAAAACATTTGGTTTTGGAATGTGGATTATGATTGCATATCAATACCTAGAGTAACACAAAAACATGAGAGATAAAACGAGAAAACATCTAAAAGGTATGGAGAATCTATGACCATGCCTGAGCAGGGTAACTGATGTATTTCAATGATTCAATTCCCATGGCTGGACCAACTGTATTGGTGATTCCAGCACTCCAATAAATCCACCATGGTGCACCACCTCTGCTACTACTAGACCAAAGCTTGATCACTGTATACAAGGCACAAGAACAAACAGATTATCATCTCTACTCCTCACCAGTCCATGGTACACAAAAAACCAATTTTATAAAAATGCGGAAGTACACTGGATGGCCAAACTTACTTATGTATGACCAAACTAAACAGATCACATTTTGAGCCAAGTTAAGGAACGCAAGATGCTCAAACCTCTTCCCATCAAGGCCAAATCTCTTGGTGGATCTATAAAAGAAAGGAAAAAGGATGAAAATGTGAGCATGAAACAATTACTACAATATGTTCATAGAAAAGCTACAATAATATTTCACAAACCAATTAGCCACCCATGTTCATTTTAACGTTCGAACTGCATTCAAGTAAAATTTTCAAAATCCCAACGGAGAATCAGTTAAAAAAAAGGACTAAGAAAAAAACTGTTGCCATAAAAATGAACAGATTCAGTTAAAATGAAATGGAAGGGAATCACTACAAATTATTCTAATCCAACGCAAAGATTCAGAATAGTAAAATATTCACTAAGATCCTTTTTTTCCTCGTTTCTATATTTGCATCTACATCGACTTCCAAATTAACTAAGAGATTTCGAATAATTTGCTGTATATTTAAAAATGGTAATCAACAACAGTTAATCGGAAACGTCCAGACACGTCCGATAAAAAAAAGAGAAAATAATTTGATAAAAAAAATGAATATTACAATTTCAAAAATAAAACGTACAGAGTTTCCTGAAGAACGCCTTGGTAAATATAGGCGGACCAAATTCCAGCTACGAAAAACGCCAACACCAAAGCTCGCCGTAGTCCGGCGTCGGGCGCTTCCATTACCACGCCATTGAATAACTGTTTCTCCCTTCTTCTTCCTTTTTTTTTTATCTGAGAATTAAATCCAAAGGAAAAGAATCGAGGAAGGAGGAACCATAGAGAGATCTTTTAACGACCAAAGCACTGTCTATCATAAAGGAAGTAGCGCCAATCTACGTGAGTATTCCACGTGTATTCGTTTTTATCGGACGGGTGACTCTTCTTTGATTGGTTTTTGTTGAAACGCAACGCGGCCATTTTGCCGGTTCTCTAATCTCAACCCCAACCGTCTCTTTGACTTGAGGCTTAAGCCCACTAAAACGCTACCAATAATGAGCCTAAACAACGGGGCTTAACCCCAAACATCCCACCCATATATTTAGGGTAAATTATAACATTAACCACTCAATTATTCAACCCTTTTACTTTTACCACCGATTTTTTAATGTTGACGTGGGAGTTAATAAAATATGTATAATTATATATTTATTCCATAATATTTATACATTCTATCAATTTGGTCCTAATTTAAATTTAATTCAATAAATCAACCCTTTAATGAGGATGTGACATGTGACACCACCTAATTTGAGGATTTTTTAAATATTTTTATTTTATTTAATTAAATAAATTTTTTATCCAATCAAATGATGACATATGTCACTTCTGATTGGATAGAAAATAAGCTAGAATAAAATATGTTTTTGTGGGGGTTTGAATATGTAACCCCCAAGGTATCAACCAAAGTATTAGCTGCAGAGTCAAATACCTCATTTGGTTAAGTCTTTACGCTTGTAACGCCCCGATTTTTGGGTTAGTATTTTCAGGCTAACATGAGAGAGAGTTAAATAATCCATTAGGTTTATAAGAAAACTCTTGTTTATTTATGAAGTAATTGGGGCTTAAGTTTGGGTCCAAGTTGTGCCAAAAATGACATTTTTTATTTGGGGTTAAACTAGAGAGGACCAAAGTTGTAAATTTTCCTTAAAAGGTTTCAAAGGATGATTACCATATATGAATGGTTTTTCCTCACCATATGTCTCATTCCTCATTCAAACCGTTCATCCTTATTCTTGGTGTTTTGATTCAAAGATGAAGACTTTGTGGGTATCTTTCCCTAGCTCAAAATTCTTGTGGTAAAGGTTGAAATCTCCATCTTATAAGCTTTATTTTAAGCCCCTAACCTTAGAGTTTGGTCATAGTTACGTTTATGAAGAGTTTTGGGTTTTAGAGCTTATGAATAACTCGATATCATCCTCAAACCTTAAAAATTCATTCTTACCTTCCTTAAGCTCTTAGATGAGTTGATAACTCATTTTCCATTATTGTTCTAGTGAGATAAATGGGTGAAGGCTCTAAGGTAAAAAAACAAGGAGAAAGTGACCCTTGGGTGAGCTTGAGGTTGTTTTCCAACCCCTGATTGTAAGGTAACACACCTTTAACCTTTCCTTACTTCTTGTAGATCAGTATGTGTAGTTTTGGTGTTTATATCAGTTTTTGAAGTATTTGGGTGCATTTGGGGACCTTTAAACACCAAATGTGGACCTTGGGGACACCTTAGGAGGGATTTGGGAAATTTTAGACGAGATAAACAAAGTTTTATAGGTTGAGGGTATCGGTACTATAAGAATAGTACCGATATTGTATGTCGTGAAAGGGTACAACCCATAAAGTTCGTGAGGAGAGTATCAATACCCCATGAAAGAGTATTGATACTGCTCGGATGGTATCGTTACTCGGGCCTAGTATCGATATTCGGGGGCTTAATATGAGGAAAGTATACCATTTTGGCTCCTCGGGGTATAGTATCGATACTCCCAGTAAGGGTATCCATACCGAGGTATTTTTCAAAAAATCAGAAACAAATTTGGTATCGATACCCAAGGGAGTATCGATACCTAGGAGGCATAATATCAGTACTCTCAGGAAGGTATCAGTACTTAGATCATTTTCCAAACATCGAATGTAAATTTGATACCAATACCCGGGAAAGTATTGATACCATATGAGGGGAGTATCGATACCCAAGAAGGAGTATCGGTACTATGGTGAATTGTTTTGCTATAAACTTAGTTTTGTTTAGGAAAACAAAATCACGGGGTTTAGGTTCAAAAAACCTTCTAATATGAATTCAAGTGAAATCCTTAACAATTGTGTGATAACATAAGATCTTAATAAGGTAAGATTCCATAAGATTTATGCGTTGCTTGATGCTCGGGAAACACTGAAGACACACGAGTTACTTGTGTACAATGTTGGTATTGTTTAGTAAATGATTATCCATATATATCTAAATTATTGTTTGGGTACTTTAAACGCTAGTTGGATGTTCTGTCAATGCTATGTGACCCAGACACTTCTCTAGTACTCTAGAGGAGTAGACTAGCAGGGCAAGGTACCGATGCTATGTGACCCAGAATTAGCCCGAAGTATAGGGAGACTTTGATGCTATATGACCTAGGTCTTCCCGAAGGTTCTTAGTAAGCAAAGAGGAGTGTGAGTTCTATGAGGCTAAGTGACCCCGAGCTACACCATGACGCTTACTCTTGTTGTTGTGTTGATGTATGTAAATGTTCATAACTATATTTGTAGCATGCTCATATGATGAATGTATGTAGTATAGTAGGGTTATTTGTGTGGCACTGAGCTAGTGAGCTCAGCGTATGGAATGTGTTTCCGTACACAAGTTCGTAGATTTCAACTAAGGATTTCATCGTCAAACTTAAATTTCCAGACTCATCCTTCGTTAGAGTACGTCTCAAGTATTTAGTGGGCATGTATTGTCATAAACACTTATTATGTATTTGAGTCGTAAACTTTGTTGTTTTTGTATTTACATATTTTGGAGACTGATGTTGGGAGCACCATCATATTTCAAATACTTACATTTGGTAAACATATTATATTTTGGAGACTGATGTTGGGAGCACCATCATATTTCAAATACTTACATTTGGTAAACATATTATATTTTGGTTTTATGTCACATCATATGTTAAATTGGTCAAATGATTTAAAAAAAATAGTTAGCCGCATAGGCAGTTCTGTGTGATATTCTAATCCATTGGATATCGGGTCGGATCATATTAGGGTGTTAAAATACTAACATCAATAACTTCATCAGATGATCATATTACATTGTTGTCCCTCAAAACCTTCACTTTGTTCTTAGTTAATCTTCGATGCAGCATAGGCTTAATAACAATAAGATCTGCTATGTCAGACCTGGATACCATTCTATCGTCAGAAATATTTGTTGATCTTGTTTCAGTCTTCGATGAAATCAATGAATTAATATTCCGTTTTAATTTTTTTTTTTTTTTGGAAGAAACGATATATGCATAATTACTAAGCTATTTCACTATTTTGCATCGCAAGTCAGGTGTAAAGCTATCATTCGGAAGAAAGAAAGACAAAATAAAATTCAAAGAAAATTAAGGAAGATGAAAGCACCAATTGACTAAAACTGCTTTCTGAAAACAATTACTAGATAAAGAAACCATGATTGCAGGTATTACATTTAATGAAGCACTCAAAGAATCAATCGAAAATTGGATCTCCAACGCTACAGCTTTTACGCTTACTTTCCCTTAGTTAGTTGTGCACAATGTGTTGATTATAAGACAGAACAATTCAGAGATTAAAATTCATTGAAAATAAATTATCAACCTAGGAATGACTAAATCAGATACCTTATTCAAAATCATTGCAAAATTAAGGGAGTTAGATGGGTTATGTTCATCACCATTGCTCTTCTCCAACAACCCGTATCACCAACTACTGTATCTCACTACATCTTGATGCAACTTGGGCACTTAATCTAGTATCAGACAAATCTATGTATTGCAACTCACCATCGCCAGATACATCAAAGTTATCATCTTGAAATTCTATGTCCACTGCAATATTATCTCCATTGCTTAGGCTGATTTTTGAATTTTGAAGATTGTCCATCGAAGAGTCAGTGCCAGAAACATGGAGTTATCATCTGGACATTCTTTGTTTTTTTATCCTTAATAATATTATGCAATAGACAGAAATTAGCGAGGTATTTGGTTTAGTGGCTAAGGCTTTAGTTGATATCCGGGTATCCCATGTTCAAAACCTATCAAAAAGCATATATCAATCTACCTTATTTTCTAACCGATCAAAGGTGACACATGTCATTGTTTGATTGGATAAAAAATGTATTTAATTAAATTTAAATTAGGATCAAATTGATAGAACGTATAAGTATTGAGGACTAAATGTATGATTATACCGATTTTATTAACTGTCATATCATCATTTCTGTTAAATCAAACGACATGTGACTTGATTGAATACAATTAAATAGTTAAGTGGTTTGATTAATAAAATTGAAATATCAATGATAAAAGTAAAAAGACTAAACCATTAAGTGGTTAATGATATATCTAACTATATGTAGGGGTGTTAAAAAATCCCCGACCCGCTGACCCAGATCTAAAAAAACTGAGTAATTTTCTAAAAAAATTTACCCGACCGAGTCGGGCACATGTTATAAAAATTAATTTTTTCGGGTACCCAGTAAGTTTATATATATATATATTTAATTTATAAAATACACCCGTCCTCCTCCGACCCACTCAGTTTCTGATTGAAATCCCTAAAGGGAAAAGGTTGAACGCTGCACGCTCCAGACCTCCACGGCCTCACTGCACGTCACGCTCCACTGCTCTTTCCTGGGCCCCTGGCTTCCTCTCCTCACGGCTCACGCAGTCACGTATAGTGACTGTTCTTAATTCCTGTCTTTAAAAGAAATTCCAAACAAAAGAACAGTCAGCTAGGAACCTTCTCTAACCTTCTCACTCACGTTGCCTTGGTTCCACCACTCCAGGCTCCAGCCAACTCCAGGTAAGAATTAAGAACAGTCACGTAGTCCGATTAATTTGATTAGTATCATTTTTGGTAGACATTATTTGTCTTTGTTGGTTTTCATGCCTTTAGAACAGTAAGTATTGTAAAGAATGTTCTTTAATTACCCTTAAGAGAATGACAATTTTATGTTGTTCTATGTGAGCTGAGATGGGTTTCAATCACAACTTTGTTGTTTTGTGTGAACTGAGAAGGGTTCTTATTTTACTTAAATTGTTGCCAT